CCATTTTCTCCTAACCTTCGGCTCGGCTTATTCCCGCCATTTTTCTCCCAACCTTCGGCCTCGGCTTATTCCCGCCATTTTTCTCCTAACCTTCGGCTCGGCTTATTCCCGCCATTTTTTTCCTAACCTTCGGCTCGGCTTATTCCCGCCATTTTTGCATGTTGCAACGACAATCCCCTTTCCTCTCTTCCCCGCCCGTCGCTTCCCAATTCTTCATGATAGACTCGCGTGACTCTCTCTCCCTCTCTCGCTGGCAATTAGCGAGTGCGCAGCTCCTCCAATCATCAGATCAATCACGCTCCCTTCTTCTAAGATCGGCCCCTCCATCATCAGATCATCATTAACCCTCGGCCCCCCATCATCAGATCATTATGAACCCCTCGCCCCTCCCCCCCTCCCCCCCCCCCAACGGGGGAGGATGAGGAGTCTCTGCCCAACCTAGCCGGGTATTCCACCGACTCTCCGCCGATTCTCCGCCGATTCTCCGCCGATTCTCCGCCGATTCTCCGCCGATTTTCCGCCGATTCTCCGCCGATCCGCCGATTCTCCGCCGATTCTCCGCCGATTCTCCGCCGATCCACCGATTCTCCGCCGATTCTCCGCCGATTCTCCGCCGAACCTCTGCCGAACCTCCGCCGAACCTATCTGGCCAATCACTTACCGCAGAGGGAGATGGAAGTGGGGTGGTGAGACGAGGGGCGGGTTCCTAACGGAATCCGTTTGCCCTCGATCCGGCGGATCATGCAGCTGCAAATCTTCCCCCGCCCCCCCCCCCAAAAGAAAAACCAAAGAACATACGGCGGATCATAGAGCTGCAAATCTAGAATCTAGGGATGGGAGTTGATAATGGGCTTGGTGGGGAACTGGACGAGAGGGAAAATAAAAGAAGAAGGAAAAAGAGAACTGGACGAGACGGAAAACGGAAAAAGAAGAACGAGAGCTGGACTAGACTCCGCTTCGTATTCCTGTGACGGAGTCGCACGGTGGGGGGGGCGAGAGAGAGAGAGTGTGTGTGTGTGTGTGTGTGTTTGACACAGAGAGAGGTACAGACACACACAGACACACACACATACACACACACACACACACAGAGAGAGAGAGAGAGAGAGAGAGAGAGAGAGAGAGAGAGAGAGAGAGAGAGAGAGAGAGAGAGANAGAGAGAGAGAGAGAGAGAGAGAGAGAGAGAGAGAGAGAGAGAGAGAGAGAGAGAGAGAGAGAGAGAGAGAGAGAGTCGCCGGCGGCGGAGAGGATGGGATCAGGGTGTGTGAGAGCTATCCAGGTGCGTAGAAGGACGCAGATTGGAAGGCCTGATGGCGACGAAGTGAGCCGATGAGTGAGGCGGACAGTGACGACAGGCCACGCCAGCACTGCTGCTCATGCTTCTCGGTGCTGATCGAGCGTCCAGACTATGGTGTTCCCGCAAACACCACGCACCCGGATCATGAATGTACACAACCTATCTTTCCGGTCAGGTACTGCCATGTTGAGGGTGCATTGTGTTTGGGGGAAGGCGGTTTTGTGAGCGAACCCATCAGTGGCGCTCGGGTTTAAGCCGACGTGACGCGGGATTTTTGTCCACGTGTCATATTGTCCGACTCTGGTGTTGACGTTGTGTGTTTCTATCGGTATCTTTTGTAGAGGGCGACGGGCGGATGATGTACTGCCGTCGTACTGGTTTGAAGCGTGGAAAGACGAGAAGAGAGGGGGGTAGGAGGAGGCCGGAGAGAGGGAGAGAGGAAGAGAGCATGGAGGATGGAAGGAGAGAGGAGGGGGAGGGGGAGTGGAGAATAGGTGAGGAGGGAGTATGGAGACAACAGGGGGATGAAACGGGAGAACAGAAAAGGAGTGGGGAAGGGAGGGAGGATGAGGAGAGCGTCGGTGGACGAGACTGAACAGTGATATGGCTGACGTGGCTGTGGCCTCTGCATCCACGTGGATTCTTCTGCTCCACGTGGACCCCTTTCCTTACTTTCGACTGATTAGAGCACGAGGCCTGTACAACCCAGGGGCATAGGTTGCTGAGCGGTGAGACGAGGGGGGGGGAGGATGAAAAAGTGAGCTAAAGGTACCCTTCCTTATCCGCCTTGGAGATGAGGTGGAGCCACGATCTATAAATAGAACCCGAAGTCCTGAGTTCAAACCGTGATGGATGCCAAAGAAACCCGAGTTCAAAATGTGGTCTATTTAAAAAAAAAAAACAAAAAAAAACGTGGTCTATAATTAGAACAGGAACCGGAGTTTTTATGTTTGTGATGGATAAATAGAACCCGAGTTCAAATCCTGATGGATACAAAAGAAAAGTAAAAAAAATGGTGGCTACCGGTAGCCCTCTTGAAAAAAAAGAAAGCTGAGAGAAAGGAGGACAGTGAGGAGAAGGAGCGAGGAAGGAAAAGAAAAAAAGAAAAAAAAAAAGGGAATGATGGTAGGGGAAGGTTGTTTTTGTGATTTTTTTTGTGTTTGAATTCGTTTAGTTTTTGTGTTTCTCAGTTATTTCCACCAAGAAAATCAATTCGGGGATATCGCTTGAAGAAAGGAGCGGTCATAGGGGTTGAATTCAGGCTTATATATATTTACACTACTAGGCTTCAGATTGAGTGTACCTGGCTGCAATTATGCCGAGAAGCCTCAGGTGCAAATATAATTCCGTCCAGCAGTGTAATCAGTTGAATGGTCGGAGTCGTCGTAGGCCTTTCATTTTGGCTACATTCACACTTAGGGCTTTAGGGTACGTATCTGGCGTCAATTGTGGTCAGATTCCATCGGAAAAACTTGATCTCAACTGCGACCCTGTTAAGTGTCGTATCTGCACACGTGGCGATGAGTAAAACTGTGTATTAACGTGAGTCATTCATTTCTTATGCCCTCCCTTTCTCCCCCCCTCTTCTCTCTCTCTCTCACACACACACACACAGATTC